GGCTCCGGCTCGTGGGCCGAGCAGTTTTGCGAAGGCCACTCCGACGACAACGCCACAGTTGGCAACCCATGTACACCATGCTCTTGGGAATCGGGGGGGGCTGAACAACGGGCCTTCCTTTTTCGACCAAACGCGAAGACCGACCTGGCTGGGATCTCCATGTTTTTGACGAAACAACGTTTGGAGGACCAGGAGTCTTTGCACTTCGTTTTCGTTGCATGGCAGGCCAAGTGGCCCGACTCGATCCATATATCTCTCCAGGGACCAAGGCGGTACGTATCTGTGTTGTTTCGTGCAGGGACCGCCAAACTTGACAAGGCTTGGGTGTAGTTGCAAAGGTCTCGTCCACTTCTACTATTTAGATCTATTTAGTATGTAGTTGGCCTCGGTTTTGGGAGGAAAGAATGTTTTGGCTCCAAAACAGGGATCCATCAGGTTCGAGGTCGTTGGTGCAAACTATGGTAGACTGTGTATCGAATTCTAGCTCGACTTGGATGCCCGACCATTGACCAGCAGGTCTCCCCAGAACACTTCACCCCCTGCCTCAAGCTTCAGAACTCCACAAAAAAAAAGAGAGAGAGAGAGAGCGAGAAAGGGGGAGGAGAGAGCCTGCAGACTGCACACTGCCACAAGTTCCGCCCCCACACCGCAGACACCACCGCTCTTCAGTCCGAAGAAGACCACCCACCAGACCACCAACCCACCGGCGCGGTCCTCGTTGACCGAGGTCTCGCGCGGGATGACGATGCGGCCGCCGTCCCCGTCGTCGCGGATCCAGATGGTCATGATGGACCGCGGGCCCAGCGCGTCCGGCGGCTCGGCGCTGAGCCCCAGGGAGATCACCTGGCGAGGCGAGGCTCGGAGCACAGCTCGGAGCACAGCTCTGAGCACCGGTGTGCCAGCCAACCCCAAAAGCCACGTGGACAGCTGGAGGCTCTGAAGGCGGTTCCCTTTCAGCTCTTACGTTTTGTGAATCGAATCCAACATCGCCCAACGATGTTGCCTTGGATGACCTGTTCCTTCAGCGAAGGATCATGGAAAAATCTCGTCTGGTCGTAGCACGAGAACCTGTTAGGTGCCCCGATGAGACAGCTTGACCGCATGCCAGAAACCTGGCTTTCTATCCCCAACTATCCCCAACGGGTTATTCTCCCAAGACAATTGGTCAAACCTTCTTCCCTTCCCCAAATCGTCAACAGGTTCTTTCATGTCCTGAACCCTGCTTCATGACTCCAAATGCTGTGCGGCACATCTCCGGACTCTCCCCCTGCCTTGCTCCTCTCCCAGACTTGGTTCTCCAAGAGTTCGATCATCCGTACCGAGTAGAAGCTGGAGCCCACCATGCGTTCATCGTAGAAGAGCGATGGAAAGGTATGGTCCTCGCGGGGCACTCCATGCCCACGCGCGAAGGGAGTGGGAGTGGCACGGCGACCGTGAGGCACTGGACCCTTACTGTAGAAGGGCCGCTGATGGACGAACAAAGGGGCACCAAGAATCAACCGTCGTGATCATTGTTTTGGACACGACATTGGACTGAAACCACTGGGTCAAGCGGTGGCATAGTCAGCCTTTACTAAGTCTTCATCATCCAGTCTTCAAGGGTTTCCTTTCAGGGTCGATGTCAGAATCTATCAATGATCAACCTATCCAAGTGCTCACGGAAGGGATACAAGAATGTAAACCACCCGTGTTCCACCGTCCGTCCTCCCGGTCCGTCCTTGTAATCCAAACCTAAGGTCGCATTGGTCTCGTTGAGGATCTGATAGCTCACCGTGATGTTCCCCTCAAAGCCGCCACGGCGCACCACCAAGATCTTCACCAAGTGCTCGCCCTCCGAAAAGGTGGCGAAGTCCGTCTCGAACCTCGCTTTTGCGGTGATCCGAAACGTTTCCGTGCCCAGTCCGAACTCGGTTTGGCCGGTCTGTCTCTAAAGGGTGGTGAAGGAGGTCACCTGGTTGCCAGGTGAAACGTGTTGCGCTTGGTGAAAGAAGCTCACCGTTCGACCTGAACTGGGTGAAGTGAAAGAAGCGTGAGACAACTGGGAAAACCATGAACCCCCCCGTAGGAGTACACAGCAACCCAAAGAACGGTGTCTGTCTACCTGTCTCCTCACATTCTTTCTGTAATCCACAAAATAAGGTCTGATATCCCAGAGAGTCGGCATGACTCATTTTACCCGTTGGGTACTGGTGGATTATGACTGCCAGGTGGGGTATACAAAAAGAAGTCGAAGTTCAGGGTATGTAGAGTGTCCCCCAAACGACCAGTCGACCACTCTTGGGGTTCCAAGAATCACCTGGAACCCCAAACAACCAGAAACAAACGGATGTTCCAATATGGCGCCAGCCTGAGATCCTTTACATAGGAAATGGCTGGGGAGTTCCATCCACGAATTTTTGCTTGGGACTGGGTTTCCAGTGATCTCGATGAAGCCGATCCGTCGTGACCTCGCCGGTTTTGTCGTGACCTGCCCTTTGCTCACGTCACCATGCCGACCAAGTTGCCAAACCTTCCAGTCGATCAGCATACACTAAGCAAATGGTTTCATTGGAAGTCTCCGAATCATCGCAATTTGATCCAGTCATATGATATAATTAGTCGTTGACATGAATAAACTCATACCCCCTTACCCCTGTTTCCTTCCTTTTCAGGTTGCTTTTTGGACATCCACCCACCACCCCTGGCCCCCCCATCCATTTCCTTCCACACCCAAGGAGCTCCACCGTTCCGGTGACCGTGCCGTGCACCGGCGGCGCCAGGAGCAGCGCGCTCCAAAGCAGGCAGAAGGGCCACGGTCGGGCCGCCCACGCGGCGGTGCGTGGCGTCTCGACGCGTGGAGAGGGCGCCATGCGCTACGCGGAGATCCATGTGGTTTCACATGGAGTGTCGCAGGTTCTAAAGCACGGAAACACGGTGGGTTCTAAGAACGGTGTGTTCCAGGTTCCCTTCTCACTTCCTCAGGAGGTCTACAAACTTAGTAGTTTGGGTAAGCACTTTGTTCTGACAGGGTCACTGGTTCATAATTTTGGCTAGCGGCTAGCGTGCAACATTCCAGTTTTTATTCATAGCACAAGCAGGATCGAAATGACGCATGAAAGTGAAAGGCATGGAAAACCAAGGTTTGAGTCTTGTTAAATGTGACACTGACTCCTCTTTCAAAACAAATCGACCAGCCCTCTATATAGATCAGCTTCTGGCAGCATCAGTGCCGAAAGAGGCGGATATCGGCGGATAACGCGCTCCCTGGTGACACAGCTCCCTAGTAGTCCCGGTGAACCAAGTCGAAGGTGGGCAACCAGTGCACCGGGAAAGGCTGGCCCGCCCTGTATCAGGTTGGTATTTCTATAGAGGGAAGCAGTTTCTTCTTTGAGGATACTGCAGAGTTCTGTTGGCGACGCTAATGATTAATGGACATCCACACGCAAAGTGTGTGAAAAAAAACGGACTCAGAAAGCAATTCACACGCTCCGATGACTTGCCATTGTGCCCTCGCGTCCTCATATGTTGAAAGCAGTAGGTGTCAAGATTTTTTCGATCAAACACGGAAAACAACTGCCCCATTGTCCAGTACATCCTCCTCCTCCTCCTCCTCCTCCTCCTCCTCCCACCCAGCACCTGCACCTTCTTTGTCGTCTTTGGATATTGTCTAAACCCGACCGCGTGCTGCATTAGGTTCTGATCGGTCTTCTGGAGTGTACCCCAACCAAGAACCACAATCTCGGGCAGCGGGGCCAGCACGACCCAACCGTCAACCTGCGGCAAGATGCTTCGAAGAACTTACAGTATGGAAGTCGAATAATCCTAAGCGAACCTAGCATATCCAAAAGACCAGGCAATCGCGAGCCAAACCTCTTGGTAGGGCATTCTGTGGAAAGCCATATCTGGTCAACACCAATGGTGCGAAAATGCGTCGTGGTCGACCTCCCCATCCGGCGAAGGCGAAGAGAGGGACAACTGCGAAGACAAGCGCCGAGAGGGGCGTGTCTTTTTCCCGCAGATCTGCTCCGGCAGTGCATGACAGGATCTTCTGGCCTGGTCGATTCGGTTCCACCGTTCCACCGACCCAAACGGCACCTTCGCAGTCTTCGACGCGACCAGACTGCTTATCAAACATGATGATCAACTCGCGGACTGCTGCAAAAAAGGACTCCAGGAAAACCACTCAGAGCCATCCACTTGAAAGAAACAACTATACGTTCATTGTTCATCATTTTTCAGTGGATACAGTTCAATGAAATGGACGTCGAAAAAGGTTACCGCACATGTCAATGGATCCAATACAAATGCCTACGAGTACAGACCGCCAGGTGGAATTATAGGTAACACAAACTCAACAAATCAGAATCTAGTAATGTTTTTGGAAATCATGTATCACTTCCCCGTCGGCTATTCCTCTCCTACATGCGTTGGTAAACATTCCCCCGTCTGAGTGATCAAATGAGCTGGACCACGCAATCAATCAAAGTCTGCTGCAGAAAGGTTTTTGTGAAAGAACGACTTTCGACACGTTGACTCACTGCCTTTTGTTCTAGCTGTAGCTGCTTCATACCCTCATTGATGAAATTCAATGCTCAACGTTAGCAGCAGGTCCTCCCTACATTATTTAAGCACGGTCATAATGTCCCTCAACATGACTTGTAGCACGCTCCAAGAGTGCTAAGTTGCAAATCTATTGATCAGCTTGGTGTTCTGATGTACCCAGTGTGCTCACTGATCTCAAAAGGTTGCAAAAGTCAACACATCTTCCAAGCTGAGACTTTCTCTACAAAATGCGCAAGCTACATTTTAATCTGCAGTTCGCAGTGCCAAGTGCCTCAACAGAAGATGTCCCAGCAGTTTCCAGCTCCCTGCCCCAGCCTTGCAGGTGATCTCGGCCTCGCGTCGGCCCAAATACACAGAATGGTAGCCAAAAATGAAAACCTTACCCGGACCCTCCAACAATCATGGAAGCTGACCAGGACCTCCTACGTTTTAATTCCATGGTTGTTTCAGGGAGTGTATCAAAGAGGGCGAGCGCTGCCTGGCATTCCCTAAATTCTTCCTGTATCCGATTCTTGCGAAAGCCAGCTCAGTGTTGCGGGGATGCGGCCGAAGAAATCCAGCTGCACAGCTTCCTTCAACAATGCACAGCGAGCAGGTTTGTCACACCTCCTCAAGCTGTGCGCAAGCTATTGTCGGTGTAAAAGCGCCCGGCACGCTGTTTCGGCAACCCTGTACAAAAGCGCCTCCAAATCAAGCATGGGACCAAAGGCGCTCGAGCGCTTTCAAAATCAGAAGCTCACCCTCGAAGCTCGGGTAACAGGTAACAGGCCGGCCGTAGCAAGCAACAAAGAAAATATCGAACGTCAAAGGAATCTGGATCTTGCTCCATTCAGCAGTGATACCCCTTGAAGATTTAAAAAGCCAGTGTTATTGGCTTCACGGGTCATTTTGGTCAACACCCTTCTGAATTCACATCTCTCAACAAACATGTCCATGAATTACTTCATCCAGTGGGCCTCAAAGGCCACACGGCGGAACGGCCATTCCTTCGATCTTCCCACCTCCGCAGTGGCAGCCGACTTTTTCGCCACATCATGGGCGCCAGCAAGCGCTGGTCCTCGCACAGGTCCCTGCACTTCAGGGCATTGTAGGCCAGAATCGTGTCCACGAAACCAAACTGGTCGTGTGGGCTGGCGCCGATCTCGATGCCACCGTCCTGGGTCACCATGTCAACGTAGATGGACTGAGGAAGGGAGCACCTGGACCATACAGTTTCCAGCACCAACTGCACGTAGTAGTTGGTGAATCTTGCGCTGTCATCCAACCTCCATGGGTGACTCTTCATTCCTGGCACTTGGTGGAAAATGCTTTGGGGAAGATCGGCGCCAAAGCAGTTGATGATGCGCTGACCGTGTTCAGAGATGAGATGCTCGACCACCGCCCCAGCATTGACCTTACTGGTTCAACTCTCAGGATAGAAGTTTCTTGTTTAATTGCGCGGTCTGAAAAATAGAAATTGCTTGGAAGGGTGAAACTCCGCAAAAGAAGGCCAAGTCAGAGTTTGACGCCTTATGAGACTTCAGACCCTGCGTCTCTGATGGGCGGAAAACCTCTGGAGGCTAACCCGCATACCCACAAATAGAAAAATATGACATCTCTTTTTTGAATAGGGCGTTTCCTCCGATTTCCTGACCCAAAGGGGTTTCGACCGGAAACACCTCCAAAGGTTTACGCCGGTTTCCATAGACGCAGGGTCTGGAGTCTCACAAAGCATCATAAAAATGGACGAGCGTCCTGATTGCTGGAACATTGCGCCTACGGTTCCCAGTTGCTTTTGAGACAGAATAGAAGGGTGCACAGAACAGAGTACTGTAGAGTAGAACTGTACACGCGAATAAAAGATTGAATGTTCAAAGCTTCTGTCTTGGACCGGTAAGTGACACTGCAAGCGAGCGAGACAATGTGGTACTTATCAAATGTCTCGTGGCTCTGAGAGAAGAACTTCAGGGCGTCAAGCACAGGGTCATCGTGGGAGCCGGGCAGGTCATTCTGAAGCCATTCCGCTGCATCCAGCGCTAGGCTGCTCCTTCCCGTGAACTCCGACCAGTCGGAGCAAACCAAGACCAGCTGCCGCTTGAGGGCCACAAGCTTCTGAATCTGTGTTTCCTTGAGGGGTGTCTCTTCATGGTTCACCACAAGCTCACCGAAGATGTCCAAGATCGATTGGTAGAAGTTCTGCTTGTTCTCAGCATCAACGTGAGGGTATTGCTGCGTTCCTGTGTGCTCTTCAGCCCCGTGCCGGGACAGCCATATGATCAGTATCTCGCCAGGATGGGCCATGAGCCACGCGCGAATCTCCTTCAGGTAGTGCAAGGCTGGCTGCTTGGTTTCCAGACCATGCACTCCCACCCAACAATCGCGACGGGGAGACCAAATGACTCGGAAGTCAAGGAAGCGTATGCCAGCATCAAGCTGCTCTTGGATGCTAATGGTCTGGCACTTGCACAACTTCATGACTTCGTTCATGACCAAGTGCTTTGCAGTAGGGTTCATCTCAAGAAACCCATGAATTGTCGGCAAACTAGGGATGGAGTCACCCTCAGCCACGTGGTCAGAGAGGTCGTAGCTCAACGAGTCGTGCGTGCCAGGCAGGCAAAGATCCATCAAGACCAAGTTGCCAATCGCCGGCATGGAGCTCATCCACCGCGACAGAAAGTCTGCTTGGCCAAAGTCAGTCCCACTCACATCCTGTAAGTCTTGCAGATTCCTTGGGATTCTGCAGATTCCCACGGTAAACCGGTCAACACTGCACTCGCACACATGCCCGCTGAGCGACCACTTGCGCGAGTGCTTGGCCACGTGCACCACCCCAGCACCGTCCGGACCGTAGGCGCAGGTAGCGTTGTCGAAGTCCTCGGTGTCTCTGATGAGATCGCAGTCGAGCTCAACCACTTGTGCTGGCAGCGGTGCTTGCCGGATGTGGTCAGCAAGAGTGGGCCTTCTGAACAGATTGGATAGTCTCTGCATCTTACTCGGACCTTGAACAAGAAAACGAGCTCGGGCAGGCAAAAATGCAACAATGGGTCCTAGAATGGATGGCTTACTATATATGAAAAATGATCTCTTTCCCGGATTCGGTGGGCCCAATTTTCGTTCTTCCTCTTAGCCTATTCCTACATGCTAGATTAGACCTGTGCCCCTAAAAAGGTTTTTACTCCGCTTGTCAGTGGCTTCTTGATACAATCCACTTGTTCCAGGCACTTGTTACTAGAAGCGATGCACTTGTTACTAGTAGCTTCTTGTTACTACTAGTAAGGCACTTGTTACTAGAAGCGATGCACTTGTTACTAGTAGCTTCTTGTTATTACTAGTAAGGCACTTGTTACTAGAAGTTACTAGTAGCTTCTTGTTACTACTAGTAAGGCATTTGTTACTAGAAGCGATGCAATTGTTAGTAGTAGCTTCTTGTTACTACTAGTAAGGCACTTGTTACTGGAAGCGATGCACTTGTTACTACTAGTAAGGCACTTGTTACTAGAAGCGATGCACTTGTTACCAGTAGCTTCTTGTTATTACTAGTAGGGCACTTGTTACTAGAAGTGATGCACTTGTTGCTAGTAGCTTCTTGTTACTACTAGTAAGGCACTTGTTACTAGAAGCGATGCACTTGTTACTACTAGTAAGGCACTTGTTACTAGAAGCGATGCACTTGT